GACAGCGGGTTCGTGATTTCAAAGAAACATAGTAAAATACTGACTTGATCGCTATAGTGTTATTTATCTAAAGTGCTCATCGTCTAAATTCAGGATGATAAAAATTAATATTGAAGTTGTTAAAAAACAAATTTCATTTTCCAAACCTATAGTGTTAATTGACGGCATGTCTATCAAACAAAATAAAAGAGAGTATATCACCCTTTACAAATTATCTGATTGTGTCTGAAAATTATTTACATTTAGTCCTTCAGCAGTCATTAAGTCCGTTGATAAATTAATAAAACACAATTACTTCCCTTTAAAATAAAACACAACATAATTAGCGTGGATAGATAATTTGAAATGTAGTAAGTAAAACACATATATTTTAAATACAGCCTTTCATTTATTTTATACACTTAACGCACAGTTTACTTTTTTTTTTAAAATCAATAACAGTTTAGAAGCCGCTCCTAAATGTCCTCTATGTTTACTTCTATCTTTCCGTTTGCGGATAAGCTTTGGGTATTATAGTTGTTCCCTAAATAGAATCAGGCGCGTCCGCCGGCGCCCCGGCAGGGTTAGATTTGGCGCCCTGGGTTATGAGCGCTATGGTGCATACATTCGTTTTAAATAGTGCGATAGACTTCAGATAAGAAAGGTTTTAATAGTCTTTACCTGAATCGAATCAATGGCGTCCTCTGGCGCCCCGACAGGGTGTTATTTGGCGACCTGGGCCTTTTCGTATTAGCTATGGCGCCTACGTTCGTTTAAGTGAGTGCAAAAGACTATGAATAAGTTGGGGTACAGTTGTCGTTTACTAAGTTGAATCAAGCGGTCCCGCTGGCGCAGAAGCATGGTACGATTCGGTGCTCCGGGCTTAACTATTGGCACTTTGTGTTTATGCCTGCGTTTGTGTTTTATTTTGGTTTAGGTTTGCGTTTGAGGTTGGGTTTGTGTTTGCTTTTGGATTTGGGATTTTTTTCTTTTTCTTTTTTTGTTTGCGTTTGTGTTTTTGTTTTCTTTGTGTTTGTGATAGGGGTTCTGTTTGTGTTTGTGTTTGTGTTTTCGTTTGTGTTTGTATTTGTGTTTGCGTTTGTTTTATGTTTGCGTTTTTTTGTGTTTTAGTTTTGGTTAGTTGTGGTTAGGGTTAATTCGAAAAGTAATATATTTCCTAAACCCCGGCAATGCTGGATATATGCTGATTACTAAACACACAAGTCACAGAGGCCAGTGTTCTAATTTACAGGGGAGACGATTATGATGCAAGCTTGAGGACTAAAAACTTTCAGTTTGACGTGTTTGATACTGACCCACGGTTATCACGTGACTTCCCGATGGCATCTGGTCAAGTGTGCTACACGCGAGTTGAGCCAGTAGGACAAGGAGCCACACTGACCAAAAACTGCACGACACCCATTGTGGGACGATTTGTCAGGTTTATCAGGTATTGCTGCTATACAGATCAGAGCAAAAAAATGACTAACCTTTTCTCTAGTACGCTCGATTCCCCTAGTTTTTTTTTCAGTACATTTGACATTAATTTTCAGTGTGTCCCCCCCCCCCCTTCATTTTCTATCGGACAAGCGAAAGACGATGGAATAAATAGCACACTCGTACGGATTGCCCTACTCGACACCATATATATATATATATATATATATATATATATATATATATATATATATATATATATATATATATATATATATATATATATATATATATATATATATATATATATATATATGTGTGTGTGTGTGTATGTATATGTTAATATATATATATATATATATATATATATATATATATATATATATATATATATATATATATATATATATATATATATATATATATCATTATTTGATTAATTGCAGATACACTTTGGAACAAATAAATTTTTGTGAGGTCAAGGTAATGTCCAGTTCTGCCATCTCCAAGGAAAACAAATTCTCCGCCACTAAAAACTCTCGCCTGAATTCGCCCTACCTGTTGGCCACCTCCGCTCCCAGCGCGATGTACTGCACACTGCTCTGTCTGGAGCGACGAGACACGGATACGTGCACCGCCGTCAACTGGATTCGAACCACAAAACTGTGTCAGCTGTTTAACGTCAACCCTCGACTTTCTGTTTCCCTGACATCTAACACCAGCACAGACTTTTATCTGGAGAAATAACGCTGAAGCTTTCTGGCAGTAATTAAATGTTTCTAATTAATTAAATTTCAACCATTGACTGATATATTAGAATATATAGGCCTATGGGGTTGTGCACCATTTAACACATTTTTTAATCTATCTTAAATTTATTAATATATATTACTTATTATTTAAATTTAGTTAAATTTATCATAGCTTATTATTAGCTTTAAAAGTTTAATGAACTTTCTAAGAATGACGTCACAAAGTAGATGAACTAGATTCCACTCTCCCCCGCAACACTATTAATATAGTCCATTATAATTTTGGACAAAAAATTTGTTTGGCGGAGCTAGTCTAACATTTCCACAGTAATGGGTTAGAGCTAGTCTAAGATTGCCACAGGAAGGGGTTAGAGCTAGAGTCTAACATTCCCATAAAAAGGGGTTAGAGCTAGTCTAACATTCCAACAGTAACTGAATGTCGACAATTCGATATCCCTAACAACATAGTGTGAGTCTATTGTCGATGTCACATGATTGTGTTACCTCTAAATCTACTGCTTCAATAGTTACATTTTATTAAGTTTTTATGTTTATCGATGGTGTTCATGTCTTAAACACTGTTACTTATATTTTTTATGGCGGTTAATTTAAGGTTGTTACATTAAATTGTTAAAAATCTTATGAAGCGGAACTGTACGAATATTATGAGATACTAAAAATATCAATAATGGCGTCTCTGCCTATTCCCTCCCCCCTTCTTGATAACCCCCCTCCCACACCGCCCGGGGTAGCAGTACACCCCTGGACATTGAGTCCAGTTCAGTGTTTCTTCCAGACTTTTTTCTCCGGGGGCCCACTTGAAATTTTCGGGGGGGCGGTAAACTTTCTTCGGGGGGGGCGGACACTGGTAAAAGTATATATTTTCTATATAAATTATATAAATTTCATTTCGTTCGGGGGGGCGGTAAAAACTTTTCGGGGGGGCAAAGCCCCCCCCCCCCCCCCGAAGAGATGCCTGGAAGAAACTCTGGTCCAGTTATATCTTATAACCCCGGCATTACGCTTGGATTTCCATTGCCAAAGCAACCAATGGTCTATTAGACTAGGGAGCACTATATTTTAAACACTGCAACAGTAGGCCTATTTGCCTAAAATAAGAAAGCATATTTTAATTTTCAAGAAATGTAATATTTATTTCAATTCAACCCATATACTAAATAAATTACGATTTATTCTAATATGATAAAGTTTAAGTTAATATATAAAATGTACCTCAAACATTTTACAAATGTTTTTTTTTATTATTTGGTAATGGAAAAACAACACTAACTCTAGGAAATGCTAGTGAGTAAATTGGACAAAGGTAGATAACCGTGAATATGATATCTCTTGCTAGTGTGTCAGCGTGGCCTCTTCTACATAATTCTTACTCGAGACGAAAAAACACCCATAAAGATTGTGGGATTGACCAGTAACTTGATGACCTAGTTCTGTAATCTGCTTCAATGTGACATTTTTGGGAAAATGTGACAATTTGTGTAGATTGTTACAATTTGGACACAATGTGAAATTATGGGGAAAGGGTGAAAATGTGTGTACATTGTTACCTTTTGGACACAATGTGACATTGCGACTCTCGATAAACATTGGTAAAATAAGACAATAAACTTTTATAATTTTGGATTTTTAGCTTTATTTCCATTCCTGGTTTACCAGTTACTAAAAAAATAACATTTTGTTTAATTCACATTTTAGAAATTTTGGGCTTTGATCTAAAATTTATTTCAAATAACGTACAAATATTGGAATTTTATCAGTTATTGCCAAATACATCTGATATAACTTCTAAAAGATATATTTAAAAAAAGAGATAAATAGAAGGTAAACAATAAACAAATGAAACACTTAATCCAAACACGGAGTGAGAAAGAGACCTACCTAAGTAAATTTTCATTACACCAACATACGGCCAACTAAGTTTTAAAAATCGAAAATAGTTAGCCAAAATGAAACAAATATTCTTAACCCAGCGACAGATGTCACTAAAGTGTTCTAAACAATTACGTTGGTATTTAGTTTTAATTCATAGCAAAATATTGTGTACAAATGTATAGCAATATAAATGGATGTCTTATACTGTTGTTTGAAGATAAAATTATGAATCCACATCTAGGGTCTATACAAAAAGAGCTAAAATTTTACAAAGCAAGATATTTAAAATCTTAAATGATTAAATTATCACAACGTCTCATGATTCTTATCCCATCGTTTTAATGTTACAGAATCGTTAAGAGTTCTTGGTGATTTGTTTCTTTTAATGTAGATTTTTTTCTTGTATAAAAGGAAGGGTTGGCTATTTTCACCTTTTTAAACCTTTCTAATCTAAACACGTTGTAATCGTGAAAAAATCGAACACAAGATTATCACAAATTGTTATGTTTTATAAACTTTGGGAGTCGGAAAAACTTAGTGCTTCAATCTACATTTTCTAATTACATTGCTGTTTTATTTGCAATGCCTGCTCCCAGCCCCTCTTCACACAATATAATTACAACTGAAATCTTATTTATATATAAATAAACAATCATATATACAATTGTGCTATTATAATTTTATAAAATGGGATATTTAGAGTTTGTATGCTTGATGTTTGTTTTACACACACACACACACACACACATATATATATATATATATATATATATATATATATATATATATATATATATATATATATATATATATATATATGTGTGTGTGTGTGTTATAATAGACGAAAAAAAATGTTCAAGAAATGAATTCTATGTTATGGTGTATGAAATGCTAGTAGTATTATTAACAAAAATTTAAAAAACTGTATGTAAAAAGTATTTAAACACTTAATTCCAGAAGTTTGATCGCGCCGGTGAATTCAAAATATCTGGCACTAGTTGGCGGCACGACGTAAGTGAAGCTACAGAACCACTTGCCGTCGATGAAGATGACGTAACCAGTGCCACCGGCCAGGATGTGCAGGCTGAACGGTTGGCCGACGGTGAAGGGGAATGTGCTATAGAGGGGAACCCACTCTGTCCCCCAGACATTGTTATACTTGTAGTTTAACGTGACCACGGGGATGTTCGTGACGATGGAGATGCGGGGTCTAAAGTGGAGGGTGTTGTTGGCGGCGTTCTGTCTCAGATTCAGAATGAACCCTGTGTCGTTGAGATACACACCTTTCAGCACAACCTGATGGAACAGTGGTACACACTTTATATGCATGTACTATATGTATATATATATATATATATATATATATATATATATATATATATATATATATATATATATATATCGTATTCTAAAGCTAACAAATCTTACTAACTAAATAACCACCGCACTATCTTAATCAATCCCGCAAAGTGTTCTCAGTCCTGCTGGAGTATGGGCCACCAACTACAGCTTTCCAGTTCTCTGTCCTACTGGAGTATGGGCCATCAACTTTAGCTCTCCAGAGTTCTCTGTCCTGCTGGAGTATGGGCCACCGACTACAGCTCTCTAGAGTTCTCTGTCCTGCTGGAGTATGGGCCATCAACTTTAGCTCTCCAGAGTTCTTTGTCCTACTGGAGTATGGGCCACCAACCACAGCTCTCCAGAGTTTTCTGTCCTGCTGGAGTATGGGCCACCGACGACAGCTTTCAAACGTTCTCTGTCATGCTTTTATCAACAGGTTTGGAAGAAAAACACCACGACTTACCATGTTACCAACAGCTATTCCACAAGGTAGATCTAAATACATAATCTCCGAGATCGGTGAGATTAATTGTGTTTGTTGGATGCCTTGACGTAGGGCATACACCGCACCATCTGCAGCACAACCACCATCGAACTTTAAACCAGTCACATCGTCAGCACCACAAAACTTGCACGTTTTTGTGGTTGTATCGTAGGTAAAAGACACACAATTGTTGGTGCCAAGACATGATCTGGCACAATCTGTCACTGACAGTCCTGTCATAGGTGTCGTGTCATTACACCCCTCGTATGTCAGACTTGAGATCTCAAGCCTATGTACGATGCCACCCTGTGTTGCACACTGTCCATAAGCCGGGTTAACCGCTAGAGCACACGAGAGCCACAACACGAGAAGCGAACACATCCGTTCACAACTCAGCCAGCCTCTCCTGACCAAAATGTAAACAGCCTCAACCGTTTCACTTAGCAACATAACTTCTCACTTGTTTATGTGAGCAGTAATCTATACATTTGCCAAAAGTTTAAAACTTTAAAGTTTTAATTTAAGCATGAAACAAAGTAACTCCTTGGTCAAACAGCCGCACTGTAAATGCCACTATACCTGGAGTCGTTGTAATATCACTAGGAGCTGAACATGGAGGGGCGGGGCTTATCATATCACATGCTCTTTTTTATCCAATCAGGCTTCTAGGTTTAACTATACATTTTTTATGAGTAAAGTAAGTGAGATTATGCAAAAATCAATACTCTGAGTATCTAAATTTCTGACAAATGGCTTTTTATTTTTAAAAAAGCAAAAAAGTTTATCAATAAACTAGCAATGCCTAGCCAAATCGCATCCCGCCATGGCACCAAAATGTAATTATGTTTTCTCTCCAGAAGCCTTCCCGGCTATAGTCTCATTAATTCCCCAAAGTTTCTTGGCAATCGGATGCAACATGGATAAAAACCAGCCAGCTAGCTGGAGGCATACATTCATATATATATATATATATATATATATATATATATATATATATATATATATATATATATATATATATATATGTATATATATATATATATATATATATATATATATATATATATGTGTGTGTGTGTGTGTAAACAAATCGTATTACTGCTGCCAACAGCATAGATATAATAGCCTTACTACTAGATCATTATTGTTTTCTGTAAGTTATTTATAAATAATGTTTTGTGTTATACTGTATATAACTTCGTCTTTACATAGAAATCTAGTTTTCTGATGAATGTACCTATATTTTTTTTTAACATTACAACCCGTAAAATGTCTTTTTTTTCCTAATTTTTGTGTTTTCCATTTTCGCTGTAAGATTTCTAGTGTTTTTCTTTTCCACAAATATTTGTAAGAATTGATCTTCTCGGGTCTCAAGCGCCTTACTGTGGAGAGCTCTTCGATGTGTTAAAGCGTCAGTATAGCTGTTAAATATTTTATAAGAAAAAACTTTACTACAAAACTTTAAAAAAAGATCTAGGTTTAGTTAAAAAACACGTTAGCTAATGTGATAATATCTCACCGTTGTTATGGAACTCTTGAGATCAATTATTTATTTGTTTTGAACCTGTTACCTATGAGGAGACTGTAACAACTGGTGGCCAGTATTGGGAGTTGTTACATCCGGGTTCGATTCAACTCAACAACGATTCGTGGTTAACTTCAATACTTTTATTCGGTCTCAAATATTCACATTCCAGAGTAGCCCTCGCCCCAACAGCTACCAACTAACCCGCTGACCTCCCAAAATCGTTCACTCGCGCTTTTATACCCGCATTCGACCTTGGGATAACAATACATAAACACACCGGGGTTACTACATAGTAGGGTGAACTCAACTCACACACGCACTCTCCCCTAACCTATTCTAATCTGACCTCACAATGTTCCGTAACAACTCTTAAATATAGGATTGTTTCTTTTTTTAAGATTAAAAAAAAATTGCCATTTTAATGGCGAGGAGTGTGGTGGTGGGGGGGGGGGGGGGAATTCTGGGATGTGAGCCATGATTGTCTCTTATAGAGTCGATGGAAAATTATCTGCATTTATTTTTCGAATCATTTAAAATAAAACTTTCTTGCTTAACTTACAGAACATAAATTCACAACTCACAAATGACCCAAAACAAAAAGACTTTTTAAACTAAGGTGTCTCTGTAAAAGATTTATAAATAAACCTGGTGCCCTTATTTGTGAGAGCGGTAGAGATGATGAATGATAAATAAAATAAACGCACTCATAAGCTGGCCAGCTCGCGACAGTTGGAGAGCTCTTCACACTGAAAAACATTTTTTCTTCATCCTGAAACGAGTTCAATGTCAATCGATTTCCATGATTCTTATCCGCCTGTCCATGTCGAAAACTGAACTTCATGTTCATGGTGTAGGCAGCCGTATTCTACTTACATGAAGTGTTTGCGTTTGCGTTTTCTTTGTGGTTGTGTTAGTGTTTGCGTTTTTTTTTGTGTTTTCGTTTGTATTTGTGTTTGTGTTATGTTTGCGTTTTTTGTGCTTTAGTTTTGTTTGGTTGTGGTTGGGTTTATGTTTGCGTTTGGATTTGTGTTTAATTTCGTTTGTTTTTTTGTTTGCGTTAATGTTTGCGTTTTCTTCGTGTTTGTGGTTGGGTTTGTCTTTGAGTTTTCGTTTGTGTTTGTATTTGTGTTTGTGTTATGTTTGCACTTTTTTTGTGTTTTGGTTGGTTGTGGTTAAGGTGGGCAATGCCGGGTATATGCTGATTACTAAACACACAAGTAATGGTCCTTTGCAGACAGTTTTTCAGAGATGTGAGTGCAGGGCCTGGCAAGGACGGCTAGTACTTTATAAATTCACATGCGGTTTTTTTATTTGAAAAATCGGAAATAGCGTAAATTACTACTTCCGCTCAAGGGAAATTACTCAAAATTTTAAAGATGGCTGAGAATTATCTTTTACTGAAAGTAGAATAAGTTCCATTTCCGGTTACCGACAATCGCTGAAAAGTTGATACAGTACAACAACTTTGATATAATACTTATATTAGGTAGTCCAAACTGGCGAAAAAGTGCGTTTTAGGGTCAGTTTTTGCGGTTTTCAAAAAAAAAAAAATTTCACTACTTCTAGTTGTCCTATAAGAATAAAAATTATATGTCAATAAAGTTTAAGTCTTTATCCGTCGTAATCTGGTATTTTTATATCTATCTGTAACACATGTTTGAATGTGTTTTATATTTGTTTGAAAAGTATCAGTTACGTCAACAAATTTCACCGTTTTGCGAGTACCGATCGACCCCACACTGTTTCATTTGGTTGCGGCTTCGCGACGAAGCATCGTAGAAGCATAATCTTAATGTCATTTTAAAGAGCGTATTCTAGTCTATCGTTTGATGTATAAATTGAAAAAATAACTTGCTTATTTCATTTTTAAAAATCAGTTTTTAAACTTTAAATGACGGTATATACACGAAAACAAACTAATTCTGTTTCAATTTTTACACCGATGTAAAGTTCACTTTTATAACTACTTTGTATTGTAAATTCAAGTATTTCTGATTTACCGTCGCGAAGCCGTGCCCTCATCAAGCATATAACCCTCAAGTCAACTTTTAGCCCCGAGTGAGTAGCTCGCCGAACGGTTTTAAAGGTTGACGACCGATGATGCTAAACGGATTTTACCCTTGCTAGAGCCTTCAAACAAGTTGTAAGTATCGTTTTTAAAGTTTCATTTCCATTTTAATAAATGAATTTTAAGTTTGAATGTCATTTTGGTTTAATTAGTACACGTTATTAGTGTACATTTGAACGCTACTAGTCCACGGTTTTAGCGTGTGAACTACGCTTGTACATATGGTGTGTTTAGACGTGAAGCTATTTAATTCAGGACATTCTAGGGACTTAAAATATGGATGCACTTAACTATTAGATGCTAGTGTTTACTAATTCTTTAAAATCTATCGAATGGGATTAATGATAGGGTCGTATTACTACAGTTTATCTGGACTATCGCGTCAAAATTATGAATCGACAAATTCAAAATGGCCACCAGACAATCCTGGTTACTATTTGTACGAACTCAATTATTTACAGGGAACGAAGGTTAAGTACTTATAAAATATTAATGAAACACAAAAGAAATTTATAATTATAACAACTCTACATTTTTATTAAAAAGTAGAAAATAATTTTTTTTCTTCCGACCCTAGGGGATCTACCAATGACTGCTCGTAGATTTTGTTCATACATTTGATGACAAAAAACGTGGGTCGGGCAGATGGGTCGGGAAATTTGATGGTGAACGTACCCACGTTTTTTGTCATCAAATGTATGAACAAAATCTACGAGCAGTCATTGGTAGATCCCCTAGGGTCGGAAGAAAAAATTATTTTCTACTTTTTAGTCCACAAGAAAAACGTAGTTTTTTAAAAAGTTTTTTTTAAGTATTTTATTCTGTTGTGCACTCTGATTCTGATTCTCCTGCTGAATAATGTGAAATGGTCTGCGCCAGTCTCCATAATAAAATGTACCAGATCAATGTTTAGATGGTAATTTATTAAGATTGTACATGTTGTGACTTAGTTTTAAATGTTATATTAGTTGTAAGTATAAGTAGTACTAGTAGTATTTCTCATTATTTATTTATTTTATATGCATATAGTAACAATGAAGGACAGTTAAGTTGTCCTATAGGATGTTGAGAACCACAGTATGGCATCTTCATCATTGGATATCTCAACCATTGTGGCACAAAAAAGAATATTTCATTCAATAGAATTAATATTAAAAATATACTATCAAGTATAAATTACTTTTAACAAAAGGGTATTTTCAGGCTTTTTCATGTTTCCAGCTACAGTCATAGGACAAATAGGTTAGTACTAAATTTAATTATATTTTAATAATCACTAAATAAATTATTTATTCCATAACTGGAGACATTTATGTTGGCCTATCCAGAACTTTCCTTACAAGGGAAGGGAAGAAGGCCAAGCCCCCCTCCTACAGTTCCCAAAACATATCACTTACTCCTGATGCTCCACAAGATCAAGGTTGAGGGAAACAAGACATACAAAGATGTGGAGTTGTCGTTTTAAAAACTGTTCCCCCAAAGCAGTTATCAACCCGATAGGTTTGAATGTAGCATCAACTGCTGCATCACTTGTAGGCATCACGTCTTTATTAGATTACATTATATTACTCCATTAAATTTTGATTCTGTTTCTCCTGCACTAGATAACTGTGGCATTTTTTAAAAAATAATATTTTAACTCATGTGATTTTTGAAAATAATGAACACATTCTTCCTGTTAATGTTACCAACACAATAGTTTTAGAGTTATTCTATGTCCAAAGCAAAAAAAAAAAATTTGAATTTTTCTTTTTGTATGAAAATAAAAGTGACCAAAACGCATTTTTGTCATTTTCAATTATTTGTTTACCTTAGAAAGACTCATTTTAGATGACTGAAAAAAATTGGGCATATATATTACAAACTTTGCAGTAACTTTACCAATTTCGACACTTCTATGTTATTTAGTTTAGAAAATAATTATGGGTTCTCAAAAATGGCACTTTTTGAAAATCACTTTTTTGCCAAATTTTGCTTTTTAAAAAATCGCATAACTTTTTTTATTTATTGAGATATTTTTATAAAATTTGCGGCATAGAGCTTACAATTAAAAGTTCTTTCATGACATACTCACTCCAGAAGTCTGCAATCAATAGTTAATTTCAGTTTGGACTACCTACTTATATATGAAATGTCATCAATCTAGCTTTAACGGTACGAAAGTTATCGTGTTTACACACACACACACACACACACACACACACGTTTGTATGTGTTTAATATTATTACTTGATTTTTTTCAGATACACCTTGGATGAAATTAACATTTGTGAGGTCAAGGTAATGTCCAGTTCTGCCATCTCCAAGGAAAACAAATTCTCAGCCACTAAAACTCTCGCCTGAATTCGCCCTACCTCTTGGCCACCTCCGCTCCCAGCTCGATGTACTGCACACTGCTCTGTCTGGAGCGGCGAGACACGAATACGTGCATCGCCGTCAACTGGATTCGAACCACGAAACTGTGTCAGCTGTTTAACCTCAACCCTCGACTTTCAGTTTCCCTGACATCTAACACCAGCACAGACTTTTATCTGGAGAAATAGCGCTGAAGCTTTCTGGCAGTAATTAAATGTTTCAAATGAATAAAATTTCAACCATTGACTGATATATTAGAATATATAGGCCTATGGGGTTGTACACTATTTAACACATTTATTAATCTATCTTAAATTTATTAATATATCTTACATATTATTTAAATTTACTTAAATTTATCATAACTTATTGTTAACTTTAAAAGTTTAATGAACTTTCTAAGAATGACGTCACAAAGTAGAGGAACTAGATTCCACTCTCCCCCGAAACACTTTTAAGATAAAGTTAATTATAATTTAAAACAAAAATTTATCTCACTGTATTTTAAACGAGCAAAATATTTAGATTAAATTTGTTTAATTTTCTCTCCAGCTGATTTCATGTAGCTAGTTACTATAAAGAGAGAGGCCTAACATTCCCACAGGCAGAGGTTAGAGCTAGTCAAACAATGCAACAGGCAGAGGTTCGAGCTAGTCTAACATTCAAACGGGCAGAATTTAGAGCTAGTCTAACATTCCAACATGCAGAGGTTAGAGCTAGAGTATAACATTCCAACAGGCAGAGGTTAGAGCTAGAGTATAACATTCCAACAGGCAGAGGTTAGAGCTAGAGTATAACATTCCAACAGGCAGAGGTTAGAGCTAGAGTATAACATTCCAACAGGCAGAGGTTAGAGCTAGAGTATAACATTCCAACAGGCAGAGGTTAGAGCTAGAGTATAACATTCCCACAGGCAGAGGTTAGAGCTAGTCTAACATTCCAACATGCAGAGGTTAGAGCTAGAGTATAACATTCCAACAGGCAGAGGTTAGAGCTAGAGTATAGCATTCCAACATGCAGAGGTTAGAGCTAGTGTAACATTCCAACATGCAGAGGTTAGAGCTAGTGTAACATTCAAACAGGCAGAATTTAGAGCTAGTCTAACATTCCAACATGCAGAGGTTAGAGCTAGAGTATAACATTCCAACATGCAGAGGTTAGAGCTAGAGTATAACATTCCAACATGCAGAGGTTAGAGCTAGTGTAACATTCCAACATGCAGAGGTTAGAGCTAGTGTAACATTCAAACAGGCAGAATTTAGAGCTAGTCTAACATTCCAACATGCAGAGGTTAGAGCTAGAGTATAACATTCCAACATGCAGAGGTTAGAGCTAGAGTATAACATTCCAACAGGCAGAGGTTAGAGCTAGTGTAACATTCCAACATGCAGAGGTTAGAGCTAGAGTATAACATTCCAACAGTAACTGAATGTCGACAGTTCGATATCCCTAAAAACACAGTGTGAGCCTCTATTGTAGATGTTACATGATTATGTTACATCTAACATCTACTGCTTCAATAGTAAAATGTTAATTAGCTTTTATTTTTATCGATGGTTTTCATGTCTTGAACATTGTTTCGTATTTTTAGTGGCCGTTAATTTAAGATTGTTACATAAAATTGTTAAAAATTTTATGAACTTTTAAAATATGTTCATTTGAAAGAAATTCAAAGACCACATTTAACGCAATTAATTTGTTAGATTGTAAGATTGTTATGTTAGATTCTAAAAATATAAATAATGGCGTCACTATCTTCCTCCCCCCCCCCCCCCCGTTCTTGCTACACCCCTACCCCCACCGTCCCCGGGTAGCAGTACACCCCTGGACATGGAGTCCAGTTGTATCTTATTACCCTGACATTACGCTTGGATTTCCGTTGCCCAATTAACCAATGGTCTATTAGACTAGGGAGCCATGTTAAACACTGTAACAGCAGTCGCCAAAATTAAGAAAGCATATTTTTATTTTCAAGAAATGTTATATTTATTCAAATTCGGACAATAAACTAAATAATTTACGATGTATTCTAATATGATAATGTGTAAGTTAATATATAATTAAAAATTTATCTCAAACATTCTACTACTGTTTTTTTTTTCAAATATTTAGAGATTAACTAATAAAATAATGGAATAACAACACCACTCCTAGGAAATGCTAGTGAGTGCATTGGCCGAAGGTAGGTAACCGTGAATAAAATATGTCATTGTAGTGTGTCAGGGTTGCCTACCCTACATAATTCTTCACTTGAGTCGAAAAAAAAAACATAATGATGGTGGGATTACCAGTAACTTGGTGACTTTGTTCTGTAGATGCTTCAATGTAACATTTTGGGGAAAATGTGAAAACTTGTGAAAATTATTACATTTTGGACACAATAAGATATTTTGGGAATATTATTACTCTCGATTTACTAGGTAACATAAGACAATAAACTTTTATAGTTTTGGATTTTACGCTTTATTTCCAATCCTGGTTTACTCAAAAGAATTGGGTTTTTTTTTTTATAATTCACATTTTAGAAAATTTGGACTTTGATCTAAAATTAATTTCAAATAACGTACAAATATTAGACTTTTATCAGTCATTACCAAATACATCGGATATAACTGCTAAAAGATATATTTAATAAATGCATAAAAACGTTTATAATTACAGGCTTTTATAAATGCACTAAAAAGAAGAAAATAATACAATTTTTATTAAATATAAAAATTTTTTTTAAAAATATAATAAATCTGCGGTTACTTTAAATATATAAAAAATTACTTTCTTTAAAAATATTAATGCACCACTATTTATATCACTATAAATAAAAGCACGGACCGCTTCTTTAAATATTTATAATTATAGCGGCACATATAATTATTTTATATTTAATAAAAATTATTATTTTCTTCTTTTTAGTGAATTTATAAAAGTTTGTAATTATAAACGTTTTTATGTATTTATTATTTTTATACTTTTTAGTATTAACGAGTTATACACATGTTGTTACGTTCTGCGTTCGTTTCAAATCAACAACAACGCTTCGTGTCTAACTTCACTACTTTTATTCGTCTCAATGCATTCAAGCGTACCAGAACAGCCCTCGTCCTTACCGCTACTAACTCGCTGACCGACCCCCACAATCTTTCACTAGCCCTTTTATACCCGCATTCGACCTTCGGACTACAAGACATAAACACACAAGGGTAACTACACAGTAGGGTGAACTCCACTCACACACGCACTCTCCCCTAGTTCTAGACTATTCTAACCTATTCTAATCTAACCTACAACTGACCCGTAACACTACCCCCCACCTAAGTATTTGTAGTAAAAACTACAAATACTGACTAACAAATCCAGCTTTAAAAAAAAAACAGCCTTTCATACACATACACTAGTACACAAGTTAAAAATATACATTCCGAATAATGTATATGACAGATTGTATACACAATGAAATGCATAATGACAATATACAGAACTGCTACAATTTCGAGCTCTCTGGCTACACTGGTTTATGACTCCTACCCATATCCCAACCATTCCACATCACAAAAAATTTGAGTCAACCTGCGCTCTATGGGTACTCTGGTTTATGACTCCTACCTATATCTCAACCACTCTACTTCAAAAAATTTGAGTCTACCATGTGCGCTCTCTGGCTACACTGGTTTATGACTCCTGCACCTATTTTAAACCCTTAACATTCAAAAAATTGAGTCTACCCTTTGCGCTGTCTGGCTACACTGGTTTATGACTCCTGCACCTATCTCAAACATTCTACATCCCAAAATTTTGCAACTCGCAGTCGATGTTGTTACATACTCTGTCAAACAGCTATAGCGTCGGGCTAACGGCATCCCCACAGCATCCAGCAAACGTCAGGACAGCAACCGGCAAACGTCAGGACAGCAACCAGCAAACGTCAGGACAGCAACTGGCAAACGTCAGGACAGCAACCGGCAAACGTCAGGACAGCAACTGGCAAACGTCAGGACAGCAACCGGCAAACGTCAGGACAGCAACCGGCAAACGTCAGGACAGCAACCGGCAAACGTCAGGACAGCAACCGGCAAACGTCAGGACAGCAACCGGCAAACGTCAGGACAGCAACCGGCAAACGTCAGGACAGCAACCGGCAAACGTCAGGACAGCAACCGGCAATCGTCAGGACAGCAACCGGCAAACGTCAGGACAGCAACCGGCAAACGTCAGGACAGCAACCGGCAAACGTCAGGACAGCAACCGGCAAACGCCAGGACAGCAACCGGCAAACGTCAGGACAGCATCAAGCAAACGACAGGACAGCATCAGGCAAACGACAGGACAGCATCAAGCAATCGTCAGGACAGCATCTAGTTTATGCTTCTACTTGTTTCATACTGGCCACCAGTTGTTACGTTCTGCGTTCGTATCAAATCAACAACAACTCTTCGTGTCTAACTTCACTACTTTTATTCGTCTCAATGCATTCAAGCGTACCAGAACAGCCCTCGTCCTACCCGCTAGCAACTAATCCGCTGACTGCCCCCACAATCGTTCACTCGCCCTTTTATACCCGCATTCGACCTTCGGACTACAAGACATAAACACACAAGGGTAACTACACAGTAAGGTGAACTCCACTCACACACGCACTCTCCCCTAGTTCTAGACTATTCTAACCTATTCTAATCTAACCTACAACTGACCCGTAACACTACCCCCCACCTAAGTATTTGTAGTAAAAACTACAAATACTGACTAACAAATCCTAGCTTTAAAGAAAAACAGCCTTTCATACACATACACTAGTACACAAGTTAAAAATATACATTCCGAAGAATGTATATGACAGATTGTATACACAATGAAATGCATAATGAAAATATACAGAACTGCTACAATTTCGAGCTAGCACATTACATTCGTGTAAGTAACAAAAACCGTTTTGCTTTAATAATACGATCAGTTTAACTATACGTGTCACATTTACTGATTCGAACAATGACGTAACATTCAGTCGCTGGGAACTTCTAGCGGTTAATTTAAATAGTACATCATTATTGTATATTTACCGTATCTTTTTTTTGCTTTTTATTATATAAATTAATATAAAGTTGCATGGGATGTCGTAGTCTAGCTGTTAATTATTTAATTATTTAAATAGTTGATCATTATTATATATTTACATAATTTGTTACAAGCTTTTTAATTCAGTAAAGTATTATGGGATGGTGTTGTCTAGTGGTAAAGAACTAGACTGCTGACCCGACTAAAAACCATCGCCCCCCCCCCCCTCCCCTCGAAAAAATTCTATTACCCCCCCCCCCCCCCGAACGAAATGAAATTTATAAAATTAATATAGAAAATATATACTTTTAACTGTGTCCGCCCTCCCCCCCCCCCCCAAAAAAAAAAAAAAAAATTTCAAGTGCTACACCCCCCCCCCCCCCCCGGAGAAAAAAGTCTGGAAGAAACACTGGTAATAAAAGATTGTAAAAAGAGAGACAAATAAAAGATAGACAATAAACAAATGAAACACTTAATCCAAACTCGGAGTGAGAAAGAGACCCACCTGAAAAGATTTTCATTTCATTACACCGACATACGGCCGACTAAGTTTTTAAAAATAAAAAATTATTTGCTAAAATGAAACAAAAATTCTTAACTAAGCGACAGATTTCAATCAAGTGTTCTAAACAACCACGTTGGTATTTAATTTTAATTCATAGGAAAATATTGTATATAAATGTATAGTACATTTAGTTCGTAATATAAATGGATGTCTTATACAGTTGTTTAAAGATAAAATTATGTATGTACATCTAGGGTAATTTATCAAAGCAACACATATCAAATCTACACTGATTAAATTATCACGTCTCATGACTCTTATCGCTTCGTTTTAAAGTTACGGAATCGTTAGGAGTTCTTGATCATTTCTTTCTTTTGAGATAGTTTTTGTTTTATCGTGATTGGAAAAATAAAGGAGCGTAGTAATCTTACAAAAAATCGAACTCGAGATTATCACAAATTGTGAGTCTGAAAAAATTAGTTTCAATCTTCATTTTCGATCTACATTGCTATTTCATTTACGATGTCTGCTCCCAGACCGTCTTCATAAAATTTAATTAGAACTGAAATCTTAGTTATATAAAAATAAACAATCATATTTACCATTGTACTATTATAATTTTATAAAATGGGATATTTAGAGTTTGTATGCTTGATGTTTGTTTTACATATATATATATATATATATATATATATATATATATATATATATATATATATATATATATATATATATACATACATATATATATATATATATATATATATATATATATATATATATATATATATATATATATATATATGTGTGTGTGTGTGTGTGTGTGTGTGTGTCTGAGTTATAATTGAAGAAAAAAAATGTCCAAGAAATGAATTCCATGTTATGGTGTATGTAATGCTAGCGATATTATTAGTACAAAAATATAAAAAAAAATGCATATAAAAAATATTTAAACACTTAATTCCAGAAGTTTGATCGCGCCAGTGAGTTCAAAATATGTGGTACTAGTTGGCGGCATAATGTAGGTGAAGTTACTGAACCACTTGCCGTCGATGAAGATGACGTAACCATTGCCACCGGCCAGGATGTGCAGGCTAAACGGCTGGCCGACGGTGAAGGGGAATGTGTTGTAGAGGGGGATCCACTCTGTCCCCCAGACATTGTTATACTTGTAGTTTAGCGTGACTACAGGAAGGTTCTTGATGCGGGGGCGGAAGTTGAGGAAGATGTTGGCGGCGTTCTTCAGATTTAGAGTGAACCCTGTGTCGTTGAGATACACACCTTTCAGCACAACCTGATGGAACAGTGGTACACACTTTATATACATGTACATATATATATATATATATATATATATATATATATATATATATATATATATATATATATATATATATATATATATATATATATATATATATATATATATATATATATATATATATGTGTGTGTGTGTGTGTGTGTGTGTGTATTCTAAAACTAACAAAACTTACTAACTAAATAACTACCGCACTATCTTAATCCCGCAAAGAGTTGTCTGTCCTGCTGGATTATGGGCCACCAACTACAGCTCTCCAGAGTTCTCTGTTCTGCTGTTATCAACAGGTATGGAAGAAAAACACCACAACTTACCATGTTACCAACAGCTATTCCACAAGGTAGATCTAAATACATAATTTCCGAAATCAGCGAGATCAATTGTGATTGTTGAATGCCTTGACGTAGGGCATACACCGCACCATCTGCAGAACTACCACCATCGAACTTTAAACCAGTCACATCGTCAGCACCACAAAACTTGCATGCTTTTGTGGTTTTATCGTAGGTAAAGGACACACAATTGTTGGTGCCAAGACATGATCTGGCACAATCTGTCACTGACAGTTCTGTCACAGGTGTCGTGTCATTACACCCCTCGTATGTCAGACTTGATATCTCAAGCCTTTGTACGATGCCACCTTGTGTTGCACACTGTCCATAAGCCGAGTTAACTGCTAGAGCACACGAGAACCACAACACGAGAAGCGAACACATCCGTTCACAACTCAGCCAGCCTCTCCCGACCAAAATGTAAACAGCCTCAACCGTTTCACTTAGCAACATAACTTCTCACTTGTTTATATGTGCAGGAACCTATACATTGCCAAAAGTTAGAAAACTTTAAAGTTTTAATTCAAAAATGAAACAAAGTAACTCCTGTTTCAAACAGCCGCGCTGTAAATGCCAACATTTCTGGAATCACTAGGAGCTGAACGTGGAGGGGCGGGGCTTATCATATCACATGCTCTATATTATCCAATCAGGATACTAGGTTTAACTATACATTTTTTATGGGTAAAGTAAGTGAGAGTATGCAAAAATCAATACTCTGAGTATTTGAACTTCTGACAAACGGCTTTTTTATTTGTTTTAAAAAAGTAAAATATTTATCAATAATCTAGCCACCCGGGCCAGGCCCTGCACTGGCCTCTGAAAAATCTGTCAAGCACCATGACTTGTGTGTTTATTAAGCATCAAATACACGGCACTGACCTGATTTCGGGAGTAAATTAAATTTCCATTCAACGTCTCTCTATATATAAAGCCATAAAACAAACTTTAATTTTTTTGTTTTTCGAATAAATTTCCCAGGAGTATTCTCATGAACTCCATAAAGTTTCATGGCACTCGGTTGGGTGGTACCAAACAGGATTCAACTTTTATTTTTAGAGAAAAATCGCTTCCTGCCTGAGTACCTAAATATTTTTTTCTCAACAGATGCCTTCCCGAGAATATTCTCATTAATTCCCCAAAATTTCATCAAAATTGGATGCAACATGGATAAAAACCAACCAGCTAGCTGCAGGCATACATTCATATATATATATATATATATATATATATATATATATATATATATATATATATATATATATATTAATATTTATATATAAACAAATTGATACATGTTTGATTTTTTAATCGTATTACTGCTGGCTGGTCCACATTATATCATATTATATAATAATTTGAACCCCACAACAAAGTTGTGAAATGACAATTTTGCTTCTCCGTCATTGTGTGCTAGGGAGGGGTAGGGTGGGGTGTGGTGGTTAACAACCGTCTATACGAGTATAGATATAATTTTCTTACTACTAGATCCTTATTGTTTTCTGTAAGTTTTTAAAAAATAATGTTTTTTGCGTCATACTGTATATAGCTTCGTCTTTACATATAAATCTAGTATTCTGATTAATGTACTCATACTGTTTATTTTAACACTACAACCCGAAAAACGAATTTTTTTTCCAATTTTTGTGTTTTCCATTTTTGCTTCAAGATTACTAGATTCTAGTGTCTTTTTTTGTTCCACAAACGTTTGTAAGAATTGATCTTCTCGGGTCTCAAGCGCCTTACTGTGGAGAGCTGGTCGATGTGTTAAAGCGTCACGTATAGCTCTTAAATATTTTATAAGAAAAAACTTTACTACAAAACTTTAAAAAAAGATCTAGGTTTAGTTAAAAAAAAAGTTAGCTAATATGATAATATCTCACCGTTGTTATGGAACTCTTGAGATCAATTATTTATTTGTTTTGAACCTGTTACCTATGAGGAGACTGTAACAACTGGTGGCCAGTATTGGGAATTGCTACATACGGGTTCGATTCAACTCAACAACGATTCGTGGTTAACTTCAATACTTTTATTCGGTCTCAAATATTCACATTCCAGAGTTGCCCTCGCCCTAACCGCTACCAACTAACCAGCTGACCTCCCACAATCGTTCACTCGCGCTTTTATACCCGAATTCGACCTTGGGATAACAATACATAAACACACCGGGGTTACTACATAGTAGGGTGAACTCAACTCACACACGCACTCTCCCCAAGTTCAAGACTATTGGAACCTATTCTAATCTGACCTAATAATGTTCCGTAACAACTCTTAAATATAGGATTGTTTCTTTTTTTAAGATTAAAAAACAATTTCCATTTTAATGGCGAGGAGTGTGGTGGAGGGGGGGGGGGGAATCTGGGATGTGAGCCATGATTGTCTCTTATAGAGTCGATGGAAAATTATCTGCATTTATTTTTCGAATCATTTGAAATAAAACTTTCTTGCTTAACTTACAGAATATAAATTCACAATTCACAACTCACAAATGACCCAAAACAAAAAGACTTTTTCAACTAAGGTGTCTCTGTAAAAGATTTATAAATAAACCTGGTGCCCTTATTTGTGAGAGCGCTAGAGAGGATGAATGATAAATAAAATATACGCACTTATAAGCAGGCCAGCTCGCGACAGTTGGAGAGCTCTTCAAACTGAAAAAAAAAATGTTCTTCGTCCTGAAATGGTTTCAGGGTCTATCGATTTCCATGATTCTTATCCGCCTGTCAATGTCGAAAACTGAACTTCATGTTCATGGTGTAGGCAGCCGTATTCTACTTACATGAAGTGTTTGCGTTTGCGTTTTCTTTGTGGTTGTGGTTGTGTTAGTGTTTGCGGTTTTTCTGTGTTTTCGTTTGTATTTGTGTTTGTGTTATGTTTGCGTTTTTTGTGCTTTAGTTTTGTTTGTTTGTGATTGGGTTTGTGTTTGCGTTTGGATTTGTGTTTGATTTCGTTTGCTTTTTTGTTTGCGTTAATGTTTGCGTTTTCTTCGTGTTTGTGGTTGGGTTTGTCTTTGAGTTTGATTTTGTGTTTTCGTTTGTGTTTGTATTTGTGTTTGTGTTATGTTTGCGCTTTTTTGTGTTTTGGTTGGCTGTGGTTAAGGTGGGCAATGCCGGGTATATGCTGATTACTAAACACACAAGTAATGGTCCTTTGCAGACAGTTTTTCAGAGATGTAAGTGTAGGGCCAGGCAGGGACGGCTAGTACTTTATAAATTCACATGCGTTTTTTTGAGAAATCGGAAATAGTGTAAATTACTACTGCCGCTCAAGGAAATTACTCAAAATTTTAAAGATGGCTGAGAATTATCTTTTACTTACAAGTGATTTTGATTTATCTATCTGAAACAGTACTCAAGCTATAGGCGTTTGAAAAATTAAAAGTAGAATACGTTCCATTTCCGGTTACCGAAAATCGCTGAAAAGTTGATACAGAACAACAACTTTGATATAATACT